AAAATATTGAACTTGAGAGAGAGTGACAGAAAAAGTGACGGAGTCGAAAAATACGGATGTATATAAGAAATTGTGAAAGGGTATATATTGGTTTTAACTAAACTAAAACCATACAAATCAGATTGTAAGAGAGGAGAAAACTTTCGATACAATCATTATACCTACATCCTTTGGGGAAAAAATTTGGGAGTTGGAAAAAAATATAAAAAATGGTAAGGATTAAAATTGAAGAAAAAAAATTAAAACCCTATCATGATTTTTTTTGTCTCTGGTTCGTTGTTTTATTATTATTATGAAATTTATATGAAAAATAATTATCTCATATTGCATAAAATTATTATCTCATGTAACAAAGACAAAATAGTGGAGTCTATTTTTTTTTCTCTTTTTCTGAAAAAATAATAAACCCCATAATCTTATTTTTGTTACATAAAATAATTATTTCATGGAACATTGAGATTAATAGATCCTATTTTATATTAGTCACACACCGGTACACGTCTCATGTTAGGTGAAAGTAAAAAGAAAAAAGTAAAGGAAAATATATTAAAAGTACTGAAGGCAAACGGGTCAAGAGTACAGTGGGGTCAAGTCTTTGTCAGATCAACACAAAAATTAAAGATGAGCTTTGCACGCTTCTTGAGCTCATTGGCCCTTCTTAAAGAAGCGTTACTTCCTTTCTATTTTTCTGCAATTCCGAGTTACTTAACCTGAGTTTCCATTTCAATATTTTCGTCAACTCTAACAAAAACTAATTATTATGGAAAAAATATTTCTGCAGTTATTGCAGATAAGTTATCTATATTTATTTTTAAAACGATGTCATTTTGGTATTGAAATCTTAAAAAATTATAAATATAACGACTATTATAACCCTGAAATAAATTAAAATTATAAAAATACCTTAATTTCCGTCTGAAAACGACATCGTATTGAACTTACTGCAGATATCTTATCTGCAGTAACTGCAGAAAAAGTAAACCCTTATATTATATGTGTTTTAATTTTCTCATTTCTCATGTTATAGACAAATTTTATATGATGCTCATATTTATTAAAAAAAAAATATTACACGAAAAATGAAGGATTATTAGTAGAAGAAAATAATTTTCTCATCATATATTGGCTATTCGACCCTGTTGTCCTTTAATTTGAAAATTATCACTTTGATCCGTCCTTAAACTATACATCAATTTGTCTCTGTTTAACCATTGACCAAACCATATACTCGAGTATATGACCTTATACTCGAGTAAATCAAGTGTCATGAGTTTATACTCGAATATATAACCCAGATATTCGAGTATTAGTTGTTCCATGCAATATATTCAACTATATATGCATGTACTCCAGTATATTGCACAAAATTTTTCAACGAAAATTTTTTAATGTGTAGCTCTCAAAAAGTTATGTGGAATGAAAAATAAAAACATCTGATTCAGATACCTGATCACAAGTTATGAGTATATGACTACAAAAACTTGTTTGATCCGAAAAAATCTCGTGGAAAAAATTTAACCGTAAATTTTTACTTTTAAAAACTAGCAAATGAGTTAAAAAAAATTCACGAGATTTTTTTGATCAAACAAGTTTCTGTAGTCATATACTCATTATATTGGATTTGACTTGGGTAACCTGAGATAGAGCTTTGTAAAACCTATTTGGCATTACAAATTTTGAAAAATTTAGAGTAAATCTTCGAAAGGCCATAATTTTTGACTCGAATGTCCGAATCAGATTTTTTTTTTTCACATAACTTTTCGAGAGTTACACGTTGAAAAATTCTCATAGAAAATTTTCGCGCAATATACTCAAGTACATGCCTATATACTCGAGTATATTGCGTGGAAAGTAAAAATTCGAGTATCTGGGTTATATGCTCGAGTAAATGTTCAAAAAAACCTTGATATTGAACATTTACTCGAGTACAAACCTATATACTCGAGTATTTGTTATTATACTCCAGTATATAGGTCTGTACTCGAGTATATTTCGCGGTTAATGGTCAAACAAGGGTAAATAGGTGAAATATTTTGAAACGGGAGAAAACGGTACTGATTTTGGTCAAAAAGGGCACAATGGTCAAATAACCTCATATGTTGATGAAAAGCTTCTAAAAACAACTTTCGTAATTTTTGCTAACTGGAAAATGAAAATTTTCTACGGAGAGACAAAAAAATCTTTAGAAAATTATACTTAGCATCTATTTGAAAAAAAAAATTAACTTCTTTTTTCCTTATAAGTAGAAGTTAGGCCAAATTTGTTTTTACAAAAGCTCTTATAATAAAAAGAGCTTTTTTATAATGAAGAAAAAAAGTCAAAAATTAAAAGCTCCCAGGACGAGCTTTTTTAAGTTGTATCAGCATTTTTTTCAAATATTTTATTTTTTAAATAAACAATTTTTAAATAAATTTAAAGCTAAAAATTTATATAATCATCAAACATCTTATAGTAGCTCTTTATTTAGCTTTAGTTTAAAAGTAACTTTTAACTAAAAGAAATAGTAGGTCTTGGGATCAGTATTTTCGTCCGCTTGGTTATTCCTACAACGTATAATGATTTCAGAAATGGATCATTCTCATGTCACCTTTAGTGGCTTAGGTTAAATCTTAGGCAATCTGGAGCAAAGGCCTTTTACACCAAATCACAATAAGAATTCCTCGAATTGAAACTCAAGGAGATTATGCTGCCTTCTCAGAAGAGCATGGCTGAAGGGATCACTAACAAAAGTGATGTACACATAATAGTGTTCCTCCTTCTGGGTATTCCCCTGACTCAAAGAAAAATACCCTAAGATTTCTAATATTTCTCTACACTGTTTTGTGAGGGTTTCATCGACCAAATGGTCATGGGATGAGGTTGCAAGTCAAAGGGTGTTACAAAATCAAAACACTAAACATAGAAACAGCTCATAGATTATTCGAGTTAATAAATACATAGATTATTTATTTGGGAGGGGTTATAGTTACTATCTTTTTTTCTTACTACTTGTTACTACCAAATCTTAACCGTTGATTTCCGTCAATCTAACGGTTATAATTTATTAAAATTATAATTAATTAATAAGTGTGACCCAATAAATTATAACCGTTAGATTGACGAAAATCAATAGTTAAGATTTGGTAGTAACAAGTAGTAAAAAATAATAATAACTATAACCTTTCCTAATACATTTTTTAAATCATATCTGTTATTCTTTATTTAATTTTTTGTGGGTACACATCATATCTGTTATTCTAATCGTATACTAAGATGTCATTTTTATGTTTTTTTATGATTGTAAATACTTTTTTTTTCTTAAATTTGTTAACTAATATTTTTATATTTTATGAAAATTTCAAAATATTTATGTAAGTTGTTAGTGTTGGAATCAAAAGTAAAATTGGCACTAAACTTTTGGGTAGATCGATGCTAGTGGAGATTAATTAACACTATTTATAATTTATTTGGAATCTCCATGCAATGGAAAGTGATATCTTTTTCTTGAAAAATTGAAAGGTTGCTTTGTAATATAATTTTTATTTTACTTTATTTTATAGATGTTTCAATCGGTTCATCATTTTGCGATTAGTTCGATTCGGGATGAATTTTGGAATTAAAATTTTAAATTTTTTTTAAAAATAATATTGAGAAAAATATAATATATACTCTAACCCTCAACTATTCAATTCTTTTACGTTACTTAAATTATCATTATTTAGTTTTACACAATCTTAATTAATATTAGAGGTCATCAACCTTCTATAAGAAGAGAGAAGTAAAAAGTTGTACCTGAGAGAGAATGAGGGAGAAAAAGTGATGGAGTGAAAAATTACATGTGTATACAAAATTGAGAAAGGGTATACATTGGTTTTAACTAAAGAGAAGAATATTTTTATTATCAAAACTTTTTAATATCAACTTATTATTTATTTAATTATCATTAGATCGATATTTTTTTTTTTTTCAAAAATTTTTTAACATTTTTTTTTATTTAACGATGATTAAATAAATAATAAGTTAATAATAAAATTTTTTAATAGTAAGAATATTTCTCCTTCTAACCTAAAATCATACAAATTAAAAGCGGATATATAATGCACCCGACTCATGTAAACCGCCCAGAAAGAGAGAGAAAAAAATCATAGAATAAAATTCCACATATCAGATTATAAGAGAGGAGAAAACTTTCTATATAATCATTATAACTACATCCTTGAAAAAAATTTGGGACTTCGAAAAAAATATAAAAAATGGTAAGGATTAAAATTGAAAAAAAAAAATTAAACCCTATCATGCTTTTTTCTCTCTCTGGTTCGTTGTTTTTTTATTATTATTATGAATTTTTTATGAGTCACACCGGTACGCGTCTTAAGTTAGGTTAAAGTAAGGCAACGTTGTCCTAGAAAGAAAAGAAAGAAAGGCAACGGGTCAAGAGTCTCAAGACAGTGGGATCAAATCTTTGTCATGTCCACACAAAAAGTAAAGAAGAGCTTTCCACGCGCGGCAAAAAAATTTATTTATTGAAATTTAATTAAATAATTACGCATTTATGATAGTTTGAGAAATAAATACAAATGTACTGCACAATGTGATGCCATTTTTGGGCGTCACATGTTACGCCCAAAAGTGGCGTCACATTGTGCACCCTATATAATCTCCCACCCCTTTATTCACTCTTCACACCTCTTCTCTCACTCTTCATATCTCTTCTCTTTAATTTAGTATTTGAATTTTATTTCTTATTCTATTTTAGAATGAGTTCCCGTCCTGATTCTGTTCGTGTTGTGCTATATTACAATGGTAGGAAGGTAGAAGGTCGACGAGGTGTCATGTTTGAAGGTGAAAAAAGGCCGACACATATCCAACGCAATGCAACCATTGGCGAACTACATCAGAGAATTCGGCAGAAGTTAAGTCTTCAAGGCAACCAATGTATCACTCAGATCACGACAAGGTTATGGCAATGTGATAAATACATTAGTTTGCAAGTGGTTGACGATGAAGACCTGGAGATGACAATGGAAGAATTTTCCAACCAGTCAAGGATAGATTTTCTGGAGTTGTATGTCGACATCGCCGCAATCGAGAATGTTCTGTTACCGGTGAGGTCAGTTGATTTAAATTCTCCCCGTCTTCCATCTTTGTCTGCCGCTCGTGCGTCTCCAGTTGGTAACTATTCTGAGGGAGATGAAAATCATCCGACTTGGGAAATGCACGACGAAGACGACGACGATGATAATGAAAATATCGCAATGGAAGAACATCTTCTTGCGGAGGATGCTAGTGCTTCCGAAGGAGATGAAGGTGCTGAGATGGGTGCGTCTCAAATCCCAATATTCCATAGACCAGTGGTCGCGCAAATGCCGCAGTTGCATGACGTTGTGTCTGCCCCATTAGGTATTCATCATGAAGGTAATTGAAATAACTTGTATATAGTTGAATTTTGCACCTGATATAATACCTGAATTAGGGTTTTTGTATTAAAAAGTTACAATCCGCAGTTGCAGGTGACGAAGCTGTAATTCCTTTTTGGGAAGGAATTTCGCATTATTCCTACATTGATTGGAGTTATCGTAGCGAACAAGAATCATGCACTGATGGTTCGGTCTCAGGATCGTGTTCAATACAAGGTCCGTGGCAACTGGGTGACAAGTTATTTGTCAATCAAGAATTTGCAACAAAAAAAGATGTCCAAATGGCACTTAAGCACCACCTCATTAGGGAGCATCAAGAAGCAATTGTAATTGAGAGCACGCCTGCAAAGTTATCCATGAAATGTTGTGCGTATGATAGGGGTTTCCCGTGGCGCGTTAGGGCCATGAAACTAGTGTTTGGTGAAAATTGGAAGATTATGAGATGGGGTGGAAAGCACAATTGTTTGAATGAGCACATTTCCCAGGGACATAGACAGCTCAATGCGGACGTTATAGCAGATCTCGTCATAGGTACGTATTTATTTATTTGTATGTCATGTCAAAGTTTACGTACTGCTGTGTAAAGACACAATTTTTTCGATGTTATCGAGTCTGGGTACTCTTCAATGCAGGGATGATAAAGGAAGAACCATCTGTGTCAATCTCTTTGGTGCAAGAAAGGATAACCTCTAAATATGGCTTTAAAGTTTCCTACAGAAAGGCATGGTATACGAAGCAGAAAGCGATGGTAATTATGTACGGTGATTGGGAGGAATCGTATGCTTTTTTGCCAAGGTGGTGCGAATACATGCTTCCATTTTCTCCAGGTTCATTTTATCATATCCAAACAAATGACCTTTATGCAGAGCAGACCTTAGTGACTGGAAAAAAGGTGTTTCATCGCATATTTTGGACGTTTACACAATGTTGTGAGGCGTTCAAATTTGCCAAACCCGTCATACAAATTGATGGAACACATTTATATGGGAAGTACAAAGGCAAATTGTTGGTGGCCACAGCCCAAGATGGTAATGATGAATGTTTACCGATTGCTTTTGCAATCGTTGAAGGCGAGACATTGGATGCATGGGACTTTTTTCTTGTTAATATTCGTGCTCATGTTACTGACATGTCAAACATATGTTTGATCTCTGATCGGCATCGTAGTATAATATCTGTTGTGGAGAAAAATCCTAATTGGCAGCCACCAAATGCATATCACGTCTTTTGTATTCGTCATATTGCAAGCAACTTCAATCAAAAGTTTCAGAATGAAGGCTTGAAGCGGATGTTAAAGAATTTAGGTATACTCATTGATTAGATGCGTATTTATTTATTTCCATTATGTTTCTCAACTTATGTTTAATTCGATGATGTCCATTATGTGCAGGTTATACTCTGGCCATGGTTGATTTTGAAAGGAATCTTGCGAGCTTCCGTGAAAGTATTCCTCAAATTGCTGAGTGAATTGATGCCATCCCTAAGGAAAAGTGGTCGCGAGCCTACGATATTGAAGGACAGAGGTACGGTCATATGACAACAAATTTGGCAGAATCTGTGAATAGGGTTTTGAAGGGGGCCAGAAATATGCCTATAACTGCATTGGTTAAGCATACATATAGCAGATTGGTTCAATATTTTGTTGAGAGAGGAACAAATGCCGTTGCACAAGTTGAATCAGGTCATCGTCATTGCAAAAATGTTGTTGAATTGGTCAAGAAAAATCAGGTAGATGCAACAGGCCACCACGTTCGTGCATACAATGTGGAACATACCGTCTTCGAGGTTGATGCTGGTTGAGAGCGTTCATATTCTGTCAATCTCCCACAGAGATTCTGTCAGTGTGGAAAGTTTAAGGCCTTTAAGTATCCGTGTAGTCACGCCACTGCTGCTGCTTTAAGTGTTAGGCAGAGTTCGTTCACGTACGTAGACGATGTCTTCTTAACAAGTAACTTGGTCGAGGCTTATTCTTTTCCGTGGGAGCCAATCGGAAACGAGGAAGCAATACCTGAAAGTAGTGGTCCAAAGATTATTCCCGATCACACTGTGTTGCGTGCAAAAGGTCGTCCAAAGTCAACTCGCATCCGCAACGAGATGGACGAAGTCGAGACAAGTCAAAGCCGTATCCAGTGTGGACTGTGCAAGGAGCGCGGCCATAATCGGCGAGGATGTCCAAATCGTGGGAGAAATGACTAAGATACGAACAAAATTTGTTTCTGCTGTTGTTTATTTTATTGCTTGAATTGTACTGTATTTTATGTTGGACTTTTTCATATCCTTTATGTATGTTTTTATTCTCATGCTATTAACTGTCTTGATTAGTTATCGTATCATAAGTGCAATAAGGGCGACCAACAAAACATAAATACAAAAAGCATAGTAAGTAGTCCAAATAAGTAGAATAATGTACAGTCCACAAAATAACAACATGATAAAGTCTAAACCCTAATACAATAAAGCCCTAAATGGCAATGAAACTACGACAACGGTGGCCATGGCCTATGTCGTGCATCCTTATCTGACAGTATACGTCTGTCCCAAACTAGGTCTCCCTGATGTGGCTGTAGCGGTGGAGTATGGAAGTCATCCACCGCTGCACGCATGAAATCATCTGCGGTTCCGTGCCCACCAATATCTGAAGACTGGCCTGGATAATGTGAATAACTGTATCCTGCACTACTACCATGCACCTCAGATGGGGTGTATCCCTGACTATGGGAATCTGTGGCGAGAGTCTCCCCACTGTCATGGCTCTCTGTGACAAGGCCTAGTGTACGATACATTTCTGCGGTATCCTCTGCAGTCCAATGGGGCACATCGACATCAAGTCCCTGTGAATGCTGCTGGAACTCAGGCTGCGAGGATGTCGGATCCGCCCCTGCCATAGCCATAGGACTAGCCTGGAAAAATAGCTCTTGTGAATCCATGAATGGGTGCTCAGACGCCGACTGCGATCCGTGATGATACGTCGGCTGGGACCCGTAAGTAGTCCCAATAACGGGAGGTCTGAACCATCCCTGAGTCTCGACCACTGGTCTCGGTGCCATAATCGGGACAGGGCCAGCAGCAACTCGCTCACGGGTACGTCCTAATCTGCGTCCCTCAACTCGCTTTCGGGGAACATCCAGGGATAACTGCGGATCCTGATGTGTCTGGGCTAGTGGTGCCTCAGGTCCAGGATCATCAACTCATGAATTCTCCCGAAATATTCCAATAAGCCTGCCAATCTTCTCGTGGATATACTCTAAACCGACTCGTGAAAACTCCTCTGTAGTTGTTGCATGATACAACATTTCTAGACCGTCAATCTGTATAACAAAATGTGTTAGCAATGTCATTATAAAATGTAAAATATGTATGTTTGCACAAATGTTACAAACTAACCATTCGTCCCAACTTTGTTGCCCTCCGAGAGATGTATCTCTTTCCCCTCGCTCTGTACCACTCCATGTACGCATGATTAGGTGACATCAACTGGTAATGGAGGGGGCACAACAATATGATGCTCCCTGGCCTGTCATCTTGCTATCCAAGGACTAAGCTTACGCCTCCAGTTCTCTTCAACCTTCCCTCGTAGAGTATGATCATGTATCCCTCTCAACTTTCTGCTCACTTCCGGGATGGGTTGATCCAGTCCAAACTGCCGCATGCACCTATCCGGTTGACATGCCTCTACGGTGTGAAAGTAAATAAGGGGACTGACGGCAGGCCAAAGGTACTGCTCGTGTGCAGTCACGTCCAGCCACTGGTAATCGATATATGGTTGCCACACCACCTACACACAAAATGAAATTTGAATATAAGGAGTTACAAATTAATATACATGCAATGTGAAATAACAACATACTAAGTATGGACCACCATACCTCATCTCTACAAAGTGTATCCAAGGTTGCCCGATAACGAGTTACCTCATGAGGTTTAAACTTTGCTACTGTATTGAACCTGTCATCAGAAAGATACATCAACAATCATAATCAAGAAGTATACAGATAGTATATATGATAAATCATTAGCGTTATTTTATATGTTTAACAAAGCATACTGGCATCCATAATGCGTGCCCGGCTCTGGATGAGGAGGAAGCGGCGGAGCAATGGGTGGGAATCGTATCCATGCCCAGATCTGAAGGAGAATCTGGAAACCACCCATGTCAGATCGACCGACATCTGTCAATTCACACAAATTCCTGAACAGGTATGACAGAACCGCAGATCCCCAGCTGAAGCGGCCAATCTCATCAAATCCTCCCCCAAGCAACGGGACTAGCCGACAACCGAAATTGCTGCCTCCAGACTTGTCCGCCAGCAACCAAGAACCTAGCATCCTGGCAATGTGCGCCTTTGTGAAGTAGATCTCGGTGTCATGATCCCCGGCATGATCGGTCCACCGGGTATATAACCGATCTAAGTATGAGATACGCAAATCGCCTAAATGATGGAACTCATTTGGCTGTGGAACCGCGCCAAATACAGCCCACAAGCAGCGGGCCAATCCTCAGAGGTAGAGCCGGTGAAGACAGCCCCGTCAGTAGGCAAGCCCAATATGCCTGCCACATCATGCAAGGTGATAGTCATCTCACCTTGGGTCATGTGGAAAGTATGTGTCTCTTGTCTCCACCTTTCGACCAGAGCATTAATTAAAGGGGCATCGATCTGTGATAAATTACGCAATTACAGTGTGTTAACGAATGATATTGAATAATTACATAAATACAAAACAAGTTAAATTGCATACCTGGATATGTCGCATCCGGGCAACATGTATAAATCCTGCCTGTGTCTGGTAGTCTGCGACAACCTCTGGGATAGCGCCGGTAGGTGGCCCCCCGTTGGCTTCCCACGCCTGGTCTTTATTTTCCTGACATGCTCTGTATTCCACACTCGCTGTGAAATATGAGCACCCCATCTGTACGGCCCAGGTATGATGTACATGCTGGGATCGGTAGGCTCTACATCCGATGCAGAACCCGATGAAGATGATGAATCAACCATTACCCTCAACTATATCATATAAAACAACATTTAAATTAATCACATGTAATACCCCATTTTATTTACAAATTAATTAAGCAATGCCATAATTTATTATCAAAAAATTTAAGCATATGCGTCATTTATTTTTCTAGAATTGAAATTAATGAAATAATGTTAATACGTAATACAGTCATTTATTTGTAATTAAATAATAAAAAAACATTGGACAAAAATAATGTAATACTTACAGAATACTTAACCCTAGGTCACTAATAACTTCATAAATATGTACAAAATTATGAATAAACTCCCGCATTAATAACATCATACATACAAAATTTACGATCTCGCTATCACTATTTTCTAAATCACTAATTAATACGCTAAACCCTAATGCATAATTAAATATTAATAATAATAACTACAT